CTCTTCTTGTACTAAGGCAAGCTTTCTCACACCATAATCTACATCAACAAGTACTATATGTTAATTTTTAATTAACACAAGTACTATTAGCTATCAATAACATCGTAATTTTCCTACTTCTCACTCATATTCTTAACAAAGAGGCTTGTCAAGATTACAATTTACTCACACAATCCCCTCAAGCCTTCCTCTCACTCTATCATAACATAACACTTAATATCTCAACTTATCACACTTCAAAAATCCATGATCAAGTTAAGGTTTGATCCAACTTTCTCCAAACAGCAAAGTGTGTGTTTGGATAAGAGAAATAATCAATTTTTTGAGCCAAATTACCTAAACAGTCAAAAAAAGTCAAAAATCAATTATGGGCTAAGACGTGCATTTTTTTTGTAAGCTCTCTTAATCAGCTTTCTGAAAAAAATTGATCAAAATTGTTGGAGAAAATTACAAAGAAAGGCCCAAGAAAAATTATAAAAAGGCATAACATCAAATAAAAATAAAACCAAACTCTCTTCTCTTAACTAAAAAAAATAAAATTCAAACTCTGTATCCTCAAAAAAATTAATGTTTGGTATTTAAAAATTAAATTATATAGTAATTTATATAGCTAAAATTGATTTTGATTAAATTATCCAAAAATTTTTAATTCTGTTAAAATCAATTTAAAAAAACGGTATCCAAATAGATTGCGTTATAACATAATCAATTACAATTAAAATCTACTACTTAATTAATTATTTTCATAATCTATTATACCTAACGAAAATCCAAACGGGCACAAAGTAGCTTCATATTGCCACTTATTCAAAGTTAAGAAACTTAAATTAAACCTATAGAATTAATTTAAATCATTGAAACATAGACCCATAGCTTAATCCATTTAGAGCAAATTCTCCTACTTTCAAATTTCATGAAAAATGAGATGAAAAGGTAGAGGAGAAGGGTAAGAAACTTACTCAAAATTTTAAAGGCTCAATTTATCTTTAAAATCCTCCTAAAATGATGCCTTAACAGTGCCCAAAGCTTTTCCCTTCATGTTCTAGGTTTTCCCTTATAAAAACTACTTTTTTCTGATGATTTTCAAAATTTATGCTATTTGTGCTATGTCGTGCACTGTAGCACACGACGCACAAGTTGCAGCTCCCAATGCCACCCAATTTGATCTAACTTCTATCTTAACTCAATGTAGAGCCAAATATGACTCAAAAAGCTAATTAGCAACCTAAAAATATAATTAAATTAATTAATTATCTTTTCAACTAATTTATCCCTTAATTAGTTAGTTTATTCTAGATTTAAAGTTTTTGGATGTTACATTTATGATTCTATGTGTTTTTATTTAGTTGGGGCCATAAATGGATGAAAATCTACCATTAATGAGGTGATTAGGGGCAATGTGACTCCATTAATGGTTATTTAAGAGTTTAATGAAGTTAATAGAAGTTAAAGGAAGTTAAGAAACCCTATGAGTACCTTTGTATGTGAAGGGTATGAATCTTAAGGGTGAAGAAGTGTTGAACTAGATAGTGGAAATCAGGCAAAAAGGGATGTTGGTGAATTATATTGTGACCAATTGTAGAGTAATTACACTTGGCACCATTCAAGTTTCGTGGAAGCTTTAGGAGTGTGAAATTAAATAGTAAACTTTTGACCTCTCAAATATTTGAGGTAATTGAAAAAAATTTTTCTTGTGCTTTTGTATGTTAATTAATTTATTAAGTTATCTTCGATGATTTAAATGTTTGAAATTGAATGAAATGCAAGTATGGCATGACTTTCTTGAAAATATACTATAATGATCTTATAAAGTTCAATGATGTATTTTTCATTTAAAGTTCAATGATGTGATTTGCAAATGAAATTCAATAATTATTATGTCATGAGTTGTTCAAGGATTTGATGTGTCAAAAGTGCAATGAAATAATGCTATGATGTCCTATGATGTGTTGCTTGCGGAGTTCAACTAATATGTGTATTGTGAGGAGTTCAATGATTATGTAATATATGGAGTTCAATGACTACGTGTGAATGGAGTTCATGATCGTATGTTTTAGGGAGTTCAATGATTATGTGTAATGTGGAGTTCTATAATTAATTATGAATTGAGAAAATGTAGAGTACAATGAAATGAATTGACATGTAAATGTGTGGAATAATTGCATTTTTTATGCATTGCATGATCTTGAGAAATGGAAATTTGCCTAAGGACACGCCTAGAGAGGGGAGTAGGAAATTAAATCCACGTGATAAGACTTCTATTAGAGCTCAATGGTTAGTCTGATTTATTATTCATATTGTCCTACTTATTTAACGAGGGACTGTTCCACTAGTTCAATAAGGGACTCGAACCTAACTAGTTTTCTATTTGTTCAATGAGGAAGCTAGTCTAAAGAGAATGACACTCCTTAGTATGAGAAATGGAGGAAACCGTGACCCACAAGTAAGTTGGTTAACCTTGGCCGGGTAACCTCTTGCTTATTTTTGGCTAGGGTGGTCTCAATGTATAAATGATCTCAATGTGTCATAGCCCATGGTTTTGTGTCAAAGGCATAAAGAGGATATAAGGGAGGTACGATCATGCATATAGTGATAAAAGGGCACATAATTGTCTGTATTGTGATCCTAGTGAAACAAATCATGTGATTTGTCTTATTTCTATATGAAATTGTATTACTAAATCATTATCTCATGAGCATCTATTATTATGAATGAGAATTTTGAATTATGCTTTTGAGCATGTTAAATGATTTGAAATTGAATATCCTAACCCTTGCATTTAAATTGATTAACATGTGGACCTTAGTTACTGAGTGATTGTACTCACCCTATTATCTTTAATATTACAGGAACTAGCTCATGGGGACATGAATGAGGGAAATAGACTGTGGCTTAGGATTGTGATCCTAAAATTAGTAGGCCTCATTTACTCTAGTTTTGTTATGTGTATAATTTAAATGATGTTGCCAACTAGGGAGAGTTCATGTTATGTCTTGCATTATGTGTTTTGGTTCAACTATATTGTGTATTTTAGGCCCAAGGGTGTATATATACCAATGTTGAAATCTATAGTAGAGCTAAAATACTAATGTAAGTAAGGGCTATGTATGACACTAGAGTTATGATAATTAATTAATTGAATGTGTGATTGGAGCTACCCCTTCTGCTTTTGGTGATTAAGGGGTGAGCAGTGAAAATGTGTTTTATGTGGAATGGTAGTGACATGGTGTATTGCACAGGTCCGTTTTAGTCCATTGAGTATGGTTTGGGTTGTGTTTGTAGCTTCTAGCTTTTGGATAAGAGTTTTTTAGCACTCAACTTATGTGTCAATTGTGAAAAGGAGTGAATTTTGAAAGGAGTGTCTTATTTATAACTAAGAAATAATTTGATTGTGAAATCAAAGCCATTAACTAGAGCTAGGAGAAAGCTTTCTATAAACACCTAGATCGCCTCAATCGAACGTCGGACAGAGAAATAAGGCGCGTTGGAAGTTGCCCTAGTTACTGTCAAATGATAGTAAAATCTGCTGTCAAAATCGTGCTATACGTCATAGCACATGGTGCCTAAGCTGCGACACATGGCACAAAGGCTTATGAACCGCGGTGCGTGTGTGACAAGTAGCAGTGCATGCCTCTTTTCTTGCACTGATATATTGTTTTCAATTTTTAAGCAAATGCTTTGATTCTTTTTGAAATCCCATACTTTTTCATATTAATCAAACTTTGATTTTTTTCTCCTGTGAAGAATTTTTAGGATGTTTTAAAAATATTGAAAACTTGGGATTTCATTTGTGAAATTTGACAAATCTAGTAATTACCATGATGTTTGGTACTTAGGGAGGATCAGTAAGGTTAACCTTACTTGTCTAACCTGGAGATTTTATAGTTATCATACTTCTGATTCTGTCCCTTACTATCCCCACTCTTTCTCTATCTCACCCTTCCCCCGACTTCCTCCCTATCTCACTGTACTCAAGATTTCTTTCGAGAACTCCTCTTCCTTTTCATCAATGCCACCATCTTTATTTGGGTGCACCATCGGAGATGCTCCAAACTCCACGCCCTGTTTATCCAAATGAAGTTAGAGGTGAGATGGATGCACTGTAGAAAATGCCAGATGCAGCGATAAGGCTTTATTGCACTTTTGGGAATCATTTGGCATGGTTCTTGCATTGAGCCAAGGTGGTTCAAGAAGCATGGTAAAAGTGAAACTGGCATAATGTGTAAAGGTGATCACTTAAAAACATAAAGGCAAGCCAGGAGAATGTTGGGGTGAAGAGAGAGGAAATACATGTATTTGAGTTCATTCTGTAGCCAAGTGTATCCGATAGGATTGGAAGGGAGGCGCTTGTCGATGAGTTTGCAAGCATAGAGCTAATAGTAGAGAAGGTGAATGTAGCGAAATGTGTTAGAAGACCAGAGCTACAGAGAGAGGGAGGGAGAGAGACAAATTAGAAGATGATGAATAAGAGGAGATAATGATGAATTGCAAGGAGAGGGAGAGGAGAAAGGAGGGAAAATATATATGTATGTATATATGTATGTATGTAAATTAATGTGGGGCTCATAAATACTATTTTATAATAAAAAATTTAAAATTCAAAAATGGGACCCATACTAAGAGATGTCAAGTAAAAATGACCCTTTACTCAAAAATATATATGAACAAAGATGAAAACAAGTTAAAGACAAACAATTATATCTTTCTAATAAAATAGTGTAAATTAATTACTATTAATTAAATAAAATTTAACAAAATATTAAAAAATATTAAAATAATGTGTGAATCAAATTTATAGGTGTGCCAAAAAATATAAAATAAAATTTAGAAAAAACACAATTATAGATTTATATTGTTTTATCAGATCATCAATATATATTAACAAATCGCGTAGAAGGACTGTGATTGGTTATCATTGATTTAATCAACCTTAATATATTTTAAATTGTTTATTTTTCTATCACATTGTTAATTACCATTATGGGAGCATTAAACTTTTCAAAGGCAAAGAATGTTTCCCCCTGCCAATCTCATTCCTCTGCTCCTTTTCCAAGGCAGTGAGTCTTTTCCTCTCCCAAGCAATGAGTTTGAAGAAGTCGATTCTGCTAATCTCATTCCTTTGCTCTTTGAAGGTCATCGCTTTGTTTTCTCTTACGGTTTCTGTTCGGCGTCGACTAATGAAGCTTCAAAGGTTATCGCTTTGTTTTCTCCTAGGGTTTTTGTTCAGCATCAGCTAATGCTTCAAAAATCATATACTTATGCTTTATAAAATGTGATCATGGTACATTAATAGATCCTTTTATCCTTTTAGCAGATCTTAAACCTCAAAGTCATGGTCGCATTTATTGCCTAAATTCATAAACCCCTCTTCAGTGCCTTTTAATTTCCAAAACCCTCATCATGACTGAACCAATTTCATCTTAGGATCTAACTTTCCAGTGATTTAGCATCCGAGTTCAATAACCTCCCTGTCCTGTCTATGAATCGGCTCTTTTTATCTAGCATCAACTGTGCCATGCCCACAAAAGCATTTGTGGCAGATCTTGATTTAGCCATTGAGTTTAGAGAGCTGTGCTTTGTGGAAGGAAGTATTTCACGTTATGCTTTGTTGAAGGGAGTATTCCTTTGTCTTGAATTTGGTCAGCAGGTTTATTCCATCTATTCTTCCTTCCATTTTGATACTTTATTTGTTCTTCAATTTTCTATTATTTGTTTTCTGTTATGGGATCCAAGCCAACTAATTTCTTTAAAAACTTTGGTATTAAAGCTTTTATAAATTCAAATGTTTTTGTTGGAACTACTTTAAATGATGTTTATACTAAGTGCTCTTTAATAAAAGACGTGAATCAGGTATTTCAGAGCATGCAAAAAATAAGTCCTATAACATGGAGTTCTATGGTGGCAGGATATGTACTAAATAGGCTCTATGAAGACGTCTTGCTACTGTTTCATAGTTCTCAATTAATGGGCTTGGAGCTAGATCAGTTTATGGTTTCATCTACTATTAGTGCTTATGCAGGTCTGTCAACTTTAATCGAAGGGAACTTTGATCTCAAAGATCTATATGAGGCTGTAATAGTAGGGCCCTCGGAATCTAATGATAAAGCAAATTTTGTGTATTCATGTTCTGGTGGCTCTTTGGATTTTAGGGTTGATGATTTTGTTCATTTTGGCCTTGATTATTTCCCCTTTGATGATCCTGATAATGATGAGCTTTAGTTTCATAACTCAAAACGCAGGTACATGTTCCAACATTATTGGTGTACGTACAACATTTGATCATTGTTCCTACTATCACAAATAATCAACCTGATGTAACATAATGTTTATGATATAAATATATATATATATATATATATCAAAGGTTAGTGGAGGGCTTGCGTGAACTTTATCTTGGTATATATATGAACTATGTACTGTATATTGGTTTTATTTGTGAAGTCTAAATCAAAAAAGAAGATGCCAAAATTGGAGTTAGTGGAGCCTAAAGGACAAAAACGTATGAAGAGGGTAATTAATGAAGGCAGGTAGGAAAACACACACAATTAGATCTGATCAAAGTCTTTAGCTCTTTGCTAAGTGACAAAATGGATTGTTGTTAGAATATATATATATATATATATATATGTATGTATGTATGTATGTATGTATATATGTATATAAAGCTGATTTTATTTTTATGTCCTTTCAGAACATGTCATGACTCCCTTTTCAACACGTTAAAGCTATGGCACTAACACAAGTCTTATAGAAGATTCTTAGATAGAGAGACATCTCCATTGTTCTTCTTCATTTTTTTTTACTTTATTAATTATATGAATTGATAGCAAATGATGAATTGTCATGCTACGTAAGTCAAGGAACTAGAGCTAAAGCAAGTCCTTTCTGTTGCTTTGAATAGCTATAAATCTAGAAGATCATCAACATGAGTAATCTTGCCTTGATTATCTAATCTTATACTTGCTTTTATCTTCTGATAAATGTTTTTTTTTTAGATTCTACTTTAGGTGAAACACATGTTCTAAACTTCTCAAATATAGACTATTAGAATCATCAATGTTTAATTATAAATTTATGCTAAATCAGAAAAACTAATTTTAATGTTTGATAGTAAAAATTAAATCCCAAGCACTTTGAATATTGGGAAAAATTAAATTTTGATTCCTAATACCAGTTTTAATACTTGACATAAAAAAATTAAATCTCAATTACTTCGAGTATTGGGAAGGATTAAATTATGAAGATTTAAATTATTGGTTATCTCATTGGAATTTAGAAAACCATTCTTCTAATATTCCTCTATTAAATTCATAACTAATTGATTTTCCAACCAAAAGTCTCTCATTGTAGTGTCTCTTAAGAAACTGAAACATTCATTTTTTGATATTTCATGTGTCATTTATCAATTTAATTTAATTAAATTACATTTAATGATGCAGTGAGAATAATTTTCGTCTTATTCCAAACACCTAATAAATTACAATATGCTTCTTATTGCTTGCATCCATTTATAAAAGGCCCTAGATTTTAATACTTTACATTCTTTCCTTCCAAACATAACTATTCTTTTTTTTAGTTCTTCTTAATCAGATTGTGTACCTAAATCATCTAAAGCAAAGATGAAATTCGATGAGTATGACTTTGTTCAAGACATAAATAATTTCATGGAGACATAGTGTATTGTCGTCGTCAGAGTCTTGAGAAAAGGGCACATAAACCAAAAAAAATCCCTCTTACCATGTCTGGAACATCTCATTCTTGCTCATTGATAAGAAGGTATCCATTCAAACAATTCTGAACAAATGTAGGCCATTGACATCTACGAGAGATGTAGTTTATAAGGAAATTTTTTAAAATGTTATGAGGGGAAAAACAAGATGTTTTATATTAAAGTTGAATAAATGTATCCATATTATGTATTCTTTGTGAAAATAATGCATTGTAAGAAAATGCAATGTAACCAATCTTCTTATTTGATTTTTATTAAAATCTCATTCTTTTGCAACTCAATAATGTATAATAAAATCATCAAAAATTAGATATTTTCAACCTTTACTTGTAACTTACTATAAGATCGAGAAATAAAGACAAGATGTTAACAAATCAAACATCCAAGAAAAAAAATAGTATAAAATAACACTTTAAAATATAACAATCTCACATCTATCCTTATTTATGGCATCACTTATATTTTTTTCAAATTCCTCAACTCTAACCCGTGCAATGCACGGGAAAGAGCCTAGTTTTGCTTTTAATTCTTGTAGTTTTTTCAATGTATTCTATCTCTATATTTTCAATAAGATTATGTGATATTTGTTTCTCAAATCTCTCACAATGTTAAATTACATGAATTATAAGGATTGAAAACATTAAAAACAAATTACATAAACTAAAAGCAAAACCCAATAAAATTATAGGAACTGATAAATGTGTTTTCTCTAAAATTTATAACCAATTGCTTCAATCACAAAACATATGGAAAATTTGGCTTTCAATGAATTTTGAAATGTAATTCACGTAAACCTTTGTGTTAAAAAATGTTTCATTAAAACCTTGTTGAGAAAAAAAATTACTCTATATTCATATGTTACCACAAAAATTGACAATACAGTACCTTAATTTATGGGGGAAAAAATAACAATATATTTTCATGGAAAAATTAATAATTTAATCCCGTATTTTTAATTTTATTATAACTTAATTTTTAAATTTTAATTTGTTACAACTTAATTTTTATAATTTGACTAATCTTATAATTTAATTATTTAAAATATGAGTAGTCCCTAGATTTTAACAATAAATTTATTCTTTATAATTTTATTTTTTAAAATGCGAGTACCAACATTTTAAGTGAATAAAATTATAATGGCTTAGTTGTAAGAATTAAAATTTAAAAATTAAATATTAATCAAATCAAAATTATGGGCACTCGACCGTTCCAAATCAAATTTCAAGGAACTAAACTTTAAATGACTCAACAATAAGAATCAAATAATTATTTTTCTTTTTTTATTGTTTGATACACCAAGAACACCTCATCCCATTTTTTTCCTATCTGAACTAGCATATGATGCACAGATGCAACATACTTTTAACTCTAACTCGATAGGAGTTCGTATTATATAATGCACATGGGCTATGGCTTTTCAATTAAAATATACAAAACTAATTCAATTACTCGATCTTATTCAAATCTAATGGCCCAAGGAATATGGACCACCCCTCAAATAAACCTCAGTTGATGGATATTAATTAACCATCAGACTGTAATCTCATGGCCAAAAAAATATCGACACCATCAAATCACAATCCAAGACTCGATTGACGGAACCCAAGCCATCAAAGAGCGCGCGTACATATGGGGAAAATTAACCATAGAAATATAGAATTGTTCTCTTCTTCAACCCAAAAAAAAAAAAAAAAACAAACAAACAAACAAACAAAACGAAATAAAAGGGAAAGGAAACAACAGAAAAACAAAAAAATTGTAACATACCACCACACATTCACACAAGCAGCTTTGAAAGGTTTGATTTCAATTCATGTACAAATTAACTGAACATATCCTTACCCAAATTTGAAAAAACAAGCAAGCAAAAGCAAAAGAAAATAAATAAGCCAATGACCATAAGCTCGGTTGAAATTACAATTTATTCCTTCAACCCGTTCCTTGTAGAATTCAAACATGAAAGTTCTTCGGATAATGGTAATAATAACACCATCAGCATCAGGTCCTTCAGAAATCGGGGAAAAATTGCAGAATTGCAACCTATGCCAAAGCGTCAGTCAAACTGGAAGGTATAGTAGACATCATACAAGATCACAGTATAGACTTTGGGCAATATCACGTTCATTGCCAAGTTTCATGATCTTCAATAAAAATTTAACCAATTACTCCTAATAAAATTACAGGCTCCCTGCATTCCACCAGACACCCAAAAAAATTACATGGAAACAAATTTACGCTGTTTCAAGATGTACCCTTAACAGAGGCAAAAGTTCTTGCGCCCGTAATCAATGATTCTCGCTCCGATTCCAGGAGCAAAATGAAACAAAACTATCTGACAAGAGAAATAAGAGGACAAAATAGTATTAGGCTGGTCATCAAAAGTTGAAAGATAACTCTTACTCCTCACAACCCGTTGGTCACCATCTCTCTCTTGATCTTGACCTGCAAAACAGCACAACTATCAGCCTTCTAAAAATAATTCCGAAAGCTAACAAGTGCTTTTACATAAGTTCCAAATCATATATGCGATAATGCGAAGAATTGTCAGCTATATGCAATCTTTAGGTCTCAACAAATAAACCATCTATCAAACGGTCTGTGGACCGCTAGAATGTAAGCAGCCATTTTCTTGGTTATAAACTTGGGACCTGTTGCCAAGAGACAGGTAATCTAAAAAAAAGAAGGAAAAAAAACCTATTGCCAGGAGAAAAAGACAGGAATGCAACAGCATATGCCCACCTATCCAAGACTCTGCTATTTGGAAACCCTCTGTCCCTGGCACCTTGAAATGGTCTTCTGTCATCAGGCCGTGTCCACACATCTCCTGTGCCTCGGGATGGAGGTCTGTCTGTGAACTCCAGACTCCTAGAATCCTCAAACGAGCCAGACTGAGAATGTGGCCTATCAGGAAAACCAGCAGCCCTTCCTACTCCAGAACCCGGCCTTCCTGCTCCAGAACCCGGCCTTCCCACACTGGAACCTGGCCTTCCTGCTCCAGAACCTGGCCTTTCAATAGCTTTTTGCCCAAAACGAACTTTGTCATCCAGATCACGAATAAGAGATTCCAGCTCCCTTTCCTTCTGAAGTAAAATTTCTTGTAAGCTGGTTTGGTCTCCACCAACCTCTTCCACAGATTCCTTACTTGAATTTACTGTTGACTGTTTATCAAGCTTCTTCAAATTATCAATTTCTTCTTTCAATAACTTTTCCTCCCTAGTTTCTGGCCTGAAATGTCAGTTTTGTCAGGATTCCAGATGCCAACATGAGCATATATACAAATGATCAGCAAAATAAGAAACAAAGCATGCGATTAGTTAAACACAAATTGTTGTGCAATATTAGACATAAGCATTAAGCTTGTTGGAATGCATCTAAAGTGATAGTCATGTTTAAATTTATTAGAAGTCTTGATTCATGCAAAACTATATTAATTCGATTGGGTGGTATATATCCGTCAACATATTTGCACCCTGATAGGCCCACACCACAGGTAGTATGAAGTGTACAAAGGTATGAGGAAGTTAAGGATTTAAAGCAAGGAACATGCAAAAGCTTATAGAAGGTTCTAAAGGAAGTTTATTAAATGAGTACCAAAAAAGGGCGCCTTGAAAATTTTTCATTCTTGCGGAAGGTGGTCCCCTCAAAGTGCTATTGGTCTTGTTTTCCTCTATATTTCTTTGCAGGACTCCAATCACAATCCAACAAATAACATCCCATCATCAGTCAAAACTGTCTAAAAATCAAACCTTAACAATTCTTCCTTTTATCATTATTGATCATCCTCACAAATATTGATGTTCTTTCTTAAATATTTCCACTTTCACCCAGCTTACTTGTTTATGCAATCAATTATTCCCACCCTTCAGCTGAAGCTATCCCCACTCCAAAGAATTTTTTTTTTTTTTTTTTTTGGGGACAACCACTCCAAACAAATTTGTTCATTCGGTATTCTATAGCTGCTTCCATACCATATTGAACCTAACATTTGCATCAGATCCCTTAACATTTATGCATTGCTCCTTTTATTATGCCAGTATGTCTAACTATTAAGTATAATGGGACATATGACGCTGAACATTTATTTATTCTTAATGATACTCTGTTTGTCTTTCATTGCATTTCTGCTTAAAGAAAACCCAGCATTATTCACCTGAGCTAGTCAATTTTTCACGTGTTTCATTACCAATCAATGTTATCTAAACTCTATTTTAAATTCTTCAGATGTCTTAGCTGAACTCAGACATGATGCATTTACTCCTGGCTTAGAAGAGTGTGCAGTTTGTAACATTATGAGCCTTAGAAGAATTTTACCATGTCCTGTCCTGAGCTTTTGATGTATTTCTGGTTTGAGGTATTAATTGTTTTCTTGCAGATTCAATTTCATTTTCAGTGAAAATAAAAGATATTTGAGCAAATTTAAATCAGTTTCACACCTTTATTCAAAGTATGCACTTCCAAAGTTACCATTATATTGAGACTTCTTATCATGTATATCTCGCTTGACAAATTGCATAGAATGAACTTGACAAATTGCATAGAATGAACCAACAATAAGTATTTATACAAAATAAGAGCCATAAACTATTTGATGATAGTCATGATCAGTGATGTTCAATTAATGTGGCATTTGATGATCATGATATACAATCAAATATTTGTAGTCTAATGGTGAATTGCCGATATCACTCTGTAAGTCAGCATAATTATTTTATAATGCAATTTTATCAACTTCAGTGCTACCTAGCACTGTCTATAGACCCTAGCTTCATATAAACACATAATACTGTCGAATTATCACTAGCATGATGGTGCAGGCTGGAAACAATCTATTTAAGCCAGCTACTTACATAAACTAATAAGCAAAAGTTATAGACAAAACACTAGGCCAGAACTTTATAACGGTTTTTTGTATGCAAAATTCTAAAAGAATTAGATATGAATGAAGGAACAAGCGATCTTCTTTTTGGTTACATGAGCGAAGTGGTTCTATTTTCTTGGACAAAAAATGAAATTTTATTAGAGAAGAAAACGTACAATGGAGTAGGTTGAAGTATTGACCCAATATACGAATTAAAACAACAGGAAAAAAAAAATAGAAGATAGAAACTAATCGTGCAGCAAAGCTGCCAAATCTATCTGCATATCTAATAAAGTGAGTCCATAAAATAAAATTCTAAAGCCAAACTCCAGAGAGATGACACAATAGTTAATTTAACCCCATACAGAATTAAAGACAATGAATCACACTGCTGATGATATGAACATTTGCTCTCCAGCCAAATGTTCCAAAGCACACCCAAAAATGTTCAGTGTTGTTAAAGGTGCTTGCCTCAACACCTAAGGCGCAAAGGCAAGGCGCCAAATAGTGCCGTCGCCTCTTGTGTGAAGATAGGAGATGGGGTTAGTCAGGTGCTTGCCTGAAAGTGCCTTGTGCATCTTGCACAAGCAAAAGGCGCTCACCTAAGGGCAACTGGTGGCAGCAGGTTGAAGAACAGAAGACAAGTAGATGACAATCAACTACTGGGCATTGAAGAAGAGACGAAGACAACAAACTGCGACTGGGTATTCAAGAAGAGAAAACAACCACCCACTAGCACTGAGTATTGTAGAAGAGAAGATGAGGACAAGGACGACTGGGTATTGAAGAAGGGAAGATGAGGACGACACTGACTGCTATTGATTAGTATATTGAACGAGACAATGGGTTTGCTCTTTTTTTTAATAAATAACCCATTAAATTAAAATATGATATATTGTATGGAAAGTTATATGATATAAAAAAAGTAGGGAAGATTTAAATGTAAAAGAAGAGAGAACAATTACATAATAGAAAAGATTTAAATTTACTACAGGAAATAATCTTTGATTGAAATTGAAATTTTAAACATGACATGATAGAGAAATTATTGTGACCCTTGGGAAAATTTTTAGGAAAGTTTAACCCCAACTTATGCTTTTTAGGTCATAAAAGGGAACCTATTATAAACCCTTAGAAGTTTAGCCCAAAGCAGAAACACCTAGAGGCTACAGCACATAGCAACACATGGCAGCCCCTCACTTTACTTGGGTTCATGCCTTTGTAGCGCCTTGCACCTAAAGCATTTTGCAGGCCTTGCGCCTTAAGTGTGCCTTTCGCCTTTAACAACAGTCATTGCCACAATGTTAGTCCTTCCTTTTTCTGCCCAAATCCCTTGAACCATATAAGTAGAAACTTAACTGAATCCTAACTTTATTTACAAACCCATACTTTACTAATTTAATATTAAAATAAAAAGTCAATCAAAAGAAAATTCCATCATGCCCATTCACCCTACGCTTCTGTCACAAAAAACTATTGCATGAAGTGAAAAATATACTTGATTCAAAAAAAAAAATCTCCAGACAATAAACAGAACTGAAGAGAGATGAAACACCTATTTAATGGGCGTTAGCAGAACAACTTAGAGCATGTTTGGTTTCATAGAAATATAATAGATTAGACTACATATATTTACAAACGTACAATGTAAATATATTCGGTTAGCTGCTATAATGGCCTTGGACTGGAAAGTCACTTGTCACTTTCTTTGCTCATAAAAATGCCTCTGAAAATTATATTCTCCAATCTGCAAATCTTCAATAAATAGTAGCACCAACCCAGACCCAAATGATGAAATTTTACATTCAATTTTTTTTTTTTAACTATAGTGGGCAAGCCTAAGTTTGATAACAAAGGAAGCCAGCTACAGTAGTTCAAACACTAGAGCCCGAGCTCATTTCCCTAATGAGAATATCATTACAGAAAGAGCGGGCCTAACTGAGCATCAGAAGGTCTTGTGCATCAGACTGCGCATTCTTAGCCAAAATTTTACATTCACTTATAACTTCAAATAGAAATTAAATATTAAATTATTCCTTTAAAAGACTGCACTATGTTCAGCTAGGTAAGAAAGTACATAAAAAGGGAAAATCAAACCTTAAAGTGCTATTATGTGTATTGAATCAATATAGTTTAATCGTTTCATTAATCTATTATACATCAAGAATCCAGAAACCCAGAACATGTACAGCAAAAGCATTTCCAGTTCTCATTAAGATATCACCAGCCATTTATCAAGTATTATGATGAGAAACCATTTTATCATATAAAATGAAAGCTAATCCACTGGGTTAGTAGGCCACACAGGCGTAGAATCATCTATATATCTTACATATTTCATAACATTTAAATTTTGCAGCACCTCTGAATTTAACTTTTTAGGTGCAATTACATCTTTTGTCAACATTGACATACGTACAAGAGAAAAAGGACCAGCATTCTCTACCACAAGTAGCTCTTTAAGCATAGAATTTCTCCTTTTATTTTCCTTTTGGGGCGTGTGGGGCACAAAACATGCTTCCACAGAATCACCAGATCAATTCATCCACCACAAGAAGGAACTTTAAAATGAAGTGAACACATGTTCTCTAAAACTTTAAAATGGGGATGGCTCTTGGAAGCTTTTCAGGGTTATATAGCAATTACTAAAGTGTCTGTAACAAGGGATAACCAGATCCACCAGACAAAAGTCTAGAGACTCAACTGGACACCAAACACAACATTAAAGAGATATTATCTAGTGAATGAGAAACTGGGAAATATCCCACTAATTTATAATGACTAGACCATTACAAAACCTCAATATCTAGTAGAAGCATATTACTATAAAACCAGTGCAAAATTAAGATGGCATCCCCAAGTAAGAAAAGGAAAACCATTAATTATTACTGCTCATCATCCAAATGCTATAAATGAATCATCATCGCTAAGTCATATAAAATCATAATGCAACACTGACCTGTCAACACCGCGATGCTCCAATTCAAGATCAATCTTCCGCCAATCTTTACCTCGCTCCTGCAGCAATAGTTCTCGGGGTTTTGCATCCCCAAAGGGATTCACCTTTGGTCTGGGTTTTACCATATTTTCTGTCTCCTGCAACCCTGTATCCTCAGAACGACTGGATTGAGAACTGGATGGCCTAATAGAGTGTGAACTTGAAGGCCTACTTGTCTTCTTAGCTTCAATTTCAAAGTCCACCTTCTTCCAATCCACACCCTTCTCAGCCAAAACTTCTTCCCTGGGCTTAGCTGCGCCAAATGGATTTGTCTTATTTGTCTTAACTGGTTCATTAACAGGGGCATTGCCTTTCGGCGGGTCCAATATCAATCTGCGACGCTCCCTCTCGCTATCACGCGATGGTCCCCTTGTCCAGTGGTCAGGCTCCATACCCGAATCACGAAACCCAGTACCGAATGTGGAAGATCTAGCGCGAAGAGGCGTTTTACCAACTGACCAGTTATCCTTCTCATCGGCCCTGGAACCACCACCAAGCGAACCATACCGATTTTGCCGTCCTGAATCAAACGACGGAAGAGATTTTTTAACCGACGCCCAGTTGTCAACCTCGTCTGCCCTGGATGGCTGATCGTAGTCCGAAACCCTAGAAGTGGGCCCCCTACGTTCTTCATCAAATCCGCCATAGGATCTTCTTCCTCCACCCCAAGAACCATCATTGTCGTCACGGTCTCGCATACGTCCTTGCGGCGGACCAGAACGGCCAAAAGAGGAGAATCCACGATTATACGGCATTTCATCGGTGGAACGATCCTTGGGGCCGGTTGGGAGCCGGAGCATCTCATCAGGCGTGAGGCCCTTATATTCGGTGGCGATACCACCACCCGCGGCACTGGAAAAACTGTTAAACTCCGACAGAGACATTTTCTTCTTCTTAGGCTTCGCATTCACGGCCTCCTTCAGGCTGGGGAAGTTCTGGGATCCTGTAGCGGCAGCTGCTGCGGCTGCCTCGCGCTCTTCGGCCTCGGCGCGCTCGGCCTCTGCGGCCCAATCTCCGGCACGGCCCCATGGTTTCGACATTTTTGTTGAATTCAAGATCTGAAAGCACAGAAAAGTGGAGAAACAAAAAGATAATAATGTAAATTATTAAGGGTTCTATATTGAGCTGGGGCTCCGATAATGGAGCCGGAGCAACGAGAGCATGCGAAGAAAGGAGAGCTGGCAGAAGAGAGAGTGCTTAGGGAAGTAGGATGCGAAATGAGCCAGAAAGTAAGGCGAGATGGAACAACAGCGTCAAATCGAGAGATAAACAATCTCAGCGGGGGAAGGAAGTGATATGCCCAGATTATCACGCGCTCCCGGGAGAGAGTGGGACTTGGATGGACCTCCCGGGACGGGTCCACCTTTCTCAACATCTGACGGTTACTATAATTTTAAAAAATATTTATTTCATAATATTAAACTGTAAATTTTTTTGAAAAAAAATTAAAATATGTTTAATAAAAATAAAAATACATACAAAATTTAAGTTTCCTCTGCAATATGCGATACTATTACGTAGAGCCGTCAATTAAGTAAGTCTGAACAAAATTTAAAGCCTAACTTTTTTTAAACTATAAAATGGTAAATTCAACTTAAAAGAACTGATTTTTTTAAGTCTAAAAATAAAAAGGTTAGCCTTTTAAAACCTTTTTATATTTTTTAAAATTTAATATAAAAAATAAACACTCTAAAACTAAATGTTATGCATAAAAACTAATGAAACTCTAGAAGGAGAAGGATCAAATTATATTAATAATAATAATAATAATAATAATAATAATAATAATAATCAAAATTTAGCTGATGATGTTAATAAAGTTTAATTATTATTTATGTCAATTTTGTCATATTGCTACTTTTAATTAGACTTAAATTTATTATTGTGTATATTGTCTTAAATTTATTATGCTAGACTTAATATTATATGTAATAATTTTTTTAAATTTAAATATATTTTTTTAGAATTTTAAATTGAAAAATAAATAAATATACATATAGGGTCAAGGCACTGAGGGTCAGTCCTTTAGCCTTGAAAATCAAGGCCAAGTTGGCCAAAATAAATTCCTAAAATGAAATCAATCTTTATAGAGCCAGCCCATTTAAGCTTTGGCCCTTCAAGGACCAATCCTAATTGATAGCTTTACTCTTCTAGACCTCAATATATTAATAATATGTTGTGTAATTAAAATCACTTATTCTTTTTTCAAAAAAATCACTTACTATTTATTTAATGTGTACAAATGTGACAACTAAAGCCATCAATTAAGCTTGACCAAACTTATCAGGTGGATCCTTTTAAACTCAAAAAAATCTAAAACCAAGCTACTACTTTAGAAAGCAAAATGATAATTCTCTTTTAAGCCTTAAAATAAAAGGGACGATTTTTTAGGACTAAGGCTGACACTTTTAAGCTTTTATAATTTTTTATAATTTTAATATTAAAAAATTAAATACTATACTAATTCTTAAATCCTAACCTTATTTCACAATAATAAAGAAGGAAAATATAAAAAACTTAATATCTTTACTACCACAAAGAAAAGGATGAAATTATATTAATGTTAATAATAATAAAAATTATCAAAATTTAGCTGATAATGCTAGTAGAGTTTAATTGTTATCGATGTTAATCTTATAATGTTGTTATTTTTTATTAGACTTAAATTTAATGTTATGTGTATTGACTTAAATTTATTTTTCTAAACTTAATATTATGTGTAATAATTTTTTTAAAATTTTAAATATATTTTTTTAATTCTTAAATTGAAAAAGAAAACAATATATAGGGCTGGCCTTCCCTTAGGACTAAGGTCAGGTTGATCAAAATAAAGTCCTAAGATGTAATTCAAAATTGACAGCTCTAATAACAACCAAATGAAATTAGGATTATAAATATTTTTAACATCTAGTTAGCACAATATTAGCCTAAAAGTTTTAAATGTGGGTGCAATGTTAACATTGTAAGTGATTGAGTAGTTTTACTTTCACGATTCATAGAAATTCAGAACAAGTTTCTTCAATTCGTCCCCCATATTTTAAAGACTTGTTTGTTTTATATTTTTAAGAATATAAAAATATAAAAATTTATTTGGATAAATTTTTTCATTTAATTGTTTTCAAAACTGTTTTTTTTTGTTTTTAAAAACAAAGAAATAGAAATAACTTTAGATTGTTTTCATTTTTGTTTCTTGTTTTTAAAATATACTAGATTTAATTATTAAAAATTATAATTACCTTGACTAATTTCTATTATTAATCACCACTATTAATTATTTATAACCATCACTTTCAATCTATTTTTTAATTCTTAAACTGTTTTTTAATTGACATAATTAAACAGATTTTTATTTCATGTTTTAAAAATAATTTTAAAAATTATATTAGAAAATAATGTTTAAAAATAAAAAAATAAATAGAAACCAAACAGGCTCTAAGTTGTCCGTCGACAAGTCCAAGCCAATTTACATTTGCGCACGATTAAGCATGCAGAAGTCAAGATTTACTCATTGACGCATGTTTGGAGCTGTCTATGGGCAAAATAAAGGAAGGTTACTCAAAAACAAGTTGGCGAAGTGCTTGAGTAGAGTTATTATTATTATTATTATTATTATGATTTTGGAATAAAAAGCAAGGATACGTACACACATATAATATCTACAAGAAAAAGATCACACAGTACAAGTATTTAACCAGTACAAGTATTTAACCATTGCGAAAAACTAAAAAAGAAAAGAAGAAAGAAAGTTGTCTTGAGTGACACTGAAAGCAATGGGATCAAAGTTAGCCAGCAAAGCTAGAATGTCCTAGATTATCACATCGCAATGAAACTTGCTGGATAGGATTAGTTAAAAGAGTAGAGTTAGCTTTTAACATTGATAATGAGTTGGTGAATCTTTCTTAACTTAGATAATCCAAAAATAGTGTACTAGTTAAAAGTTTAAAATATTAATTACTTTTTTATAAAAAATTTCAGGGCAAAATTGTTTTTCAAACCTTGTTAGATTAATGTTGCTTAAATGTTAGATGTTAATGTAAGACAACATTGCACTATCTTTTAAACTTTTAAAATAATATTATACCAATTCAAAGTCAAAAATATTAATTATACATAATAGAAAACTTTTAAAATAAATTTACTCTTCAATCATCCTTGGAGGCCAAGATCTGGGTTTTAGACTATGGTAAATCTTTTTTAGGTTTCATCTCTTGTTTGTGTCAGTGGTGTGAACGATTTGTGATGAGTACCTCCTGGCTCAGTGACATTGAGTAAAATGTTGTGGTTGGTGATGCTTAGATCCATGTTTGTTGTGGGTAATTTCTCTGTCTTTATTTATTCCACAACCTTTGTGCATTTGATTTGGAAAAGCATTACATTCTGGATGGAAATTTTGATTCAATTTATTTTGTGAGTATTATTTTAGATTTTGGAGGAGGGTTTTTGCTTGCTTGAAGTGGTTACTGGATTAGGTTTTGAAGAGGGTTATGGTTTTTTTGGATTACCCTTCTCTAGCTTGGTATATAACAAAGGTTGATCTTAATATTTGGGGTCTATTAATTTTACTTAAGGGTATATCTACATTTAATCTTTGAGATGGGGGTAATATTGATAATCTGAGCCATAGCCCTTTTTGCTAATCTTATTAATTCTTTTGGTGGAAAAATTAAGGATGATCTGAGGTGGGTTCCCCTTGGAAATAAGTGGCTCAACTTTGTTTTCGTTCAAAGTCTTTTAAAGGCTATAGAGGAGTGTGTTGGTTTTCCATTGGTGCAGGATGTATTCAATGCTACATTTTTCTCAAAAGGAATTTGCTTGGCTTTAGCAGATTATTCTAATCTTTGTAAAGCTCTTGGCTCTTATCACTATGAGTGGATTCCAAGACTTCAAACTACAAGTGATGATTGGTGTGCTTCGTGGAGAGAAGCGTTCAAAAGAGGGGGTGTTTCAACCCCATTCTTCCATGAAAAAGTTCCTAGCTCTTGCTGATTACCTGATTAAAGTTAGGATTTCAAGTCATTTTGTTCCTTTAAATCTTTACTTTTTTTTTTTAAGTTCGTTGTTGGTTGCTTGTTCTTGCTGTTTCAATTTCTAGTTTGCTAATCTTGGGAGCTTGTTGACTCTGCTTTGGTTGGTGTTATAATATATCTTCCCTTTTGGCCAAGAAGAAAAGATTTTGAGCCCATATAGTGATAGAGTTTATAAACAAGCTTCTAAAAGCTTGACAAATACTTCCTCATATCTTATTTATAAGGTAGAGAAAAAAAGAATTATTTTTATAATATTTATAAGTTATATCATTAATTTTTCATTACAAGTTTTTTTTTACTTATGTTAAAATTTTGGCACGAAAGTATGTTATTAAAATATATATTTAATAAGGTTATGGATGAAAATTTATTAACTTCTAAAGAAAGTTAAAAAGTTTAAGTAAGGTTTTCTTTTGTTATGATAAAATATATTAAAAGTGACTTATAAAAAAAGTATATAAAGTATTAATTCGAGAAATAACAAAAGAAACAAGTAAAATAGAAAAACTACCTTAAAAGTTCAGTTATAAATTATGTGTTTAGATATATTTTCACACAATCATAATTTTAACCTCTAAAATTTAGTATTAAGGTTATAAATTATGTAACATCTTAGAATTTAATTTTGAGATTAAATGAATTAATTAAATGAAATTGAGTAATTTCCTATGTGAATTAAGTTGAGGATAATTAGAGGCGGTTAATGGGTCTATTGGGTATAGTTATAACTTTTGGATCGGACCTGGAAGTGCATTAGGCCACCTGAGCCACCATTTGCTATGGCAAACACGCCATGCATGGCGACAATTAGCTTGAGTTAGAATTTATTGAGTCATGCAAGTGTTCAAAAAATTAGAAGAGAAACGAAGTAGGATGAGGAGCATTGTTTGGGTTTGCTAGGGCACGTTGGATTCAAAGGTTTTTAGAATTTTTGAGCTTGTGAATTCTTAGGTAAGTCTTTTGATCTCCTTCCTCTTCCATTCTAACTAGGTTTTGAGCTAGGGTTTGTTAGGGAGATGATGAACTTTGGACCTTAAGGCTTTAGGTCCAAACTCATAGTCTAAATAAGATTAATGAGAGTTGTTTAAGCTTTTGATACGTAGTTTTGAGGTTTCTATAAGGCTGGGAGCTTGGGTCTTGGGTTTTGGATAAATCCTATACACTTTAAGGCTAATTTTGGATGATTAGGTGTTATATTGTTGTTATTTAAGATAATAAAAGTTAATGGGAGAACA